TTTCCATGTTAGTTTATTAAAACCTGAACATACCTCCGACTTGAGACCAACTGAGGTTGATCCCCCTGTACCATTGTTAACTGAAGGTGAACAACATTTTGAAGTTAAAGAAATTTTGGATTCTCGAAAACGAAGGGGTCGACTCCAGTATTTGGTTGCTTGGAAACATTTTCCTCCTTCCCAGTCTGAGTGGGTGAATGAGAAGGATGTTAGAGCTCCTACACTTATCAAGGCATTTCGTACTAAATATCCTGATAAACCCTAAAAAATAGTATGATGATGTTACATGTATATTTTCTATTACCTTCTATTTTTATCTTTCTTAGGACTAACGTCTCTTTTGCAGGAGGGCCGAATGTCAGCCTTCAAGATTTTCTTCCTTTGCTTTGCATCTTTCGGCTGTCATAAGTAACGGGGGGAGGAGGCGGGATTTGGTTATGGGAAGTGAGTTGGAGGTGTTACAAACCAGAACTGTATAAGCTGGGGCCAGGGTAGATTCTTGCTTAGGTTTCTATTTTATGCTATGCGCAGCCGCAACTCTTTATCAAAATATGTCAAGGTCAACGGACAGAGGCCTCATCACCACCTGGAGATGCCCACATGATGATATACACAACTTTGAATTGGATGAGCCAATTGAACTACTAGGGGTGGGAACATTGACATTACTTTGTATATGTGATTTACGCGCCCATTTTCTCAGATTCAGAATTCTTTTGTTGCTACCACTTGATTTCCAGTAAAAGATATCTTTTCTCTGATCAATGGAGTCTAAGTATTTCTTTCTTGGACTTTGAATGGAGCACCAGCTGACACCCGCCTTAGGCACGAAAGCCAACTGGATGACTTTAGGCCAATCACCAGGAGATGGTGAGTTCTAGTCCCACCTTAGATATTAAAGCCTGCTGGGTGACTCTGGGCCAGTCTCTCTCTTTCTCTCAGCCCAACCCACCTCACAGGATTGTTGTTGTGAGCAAAATAGGTGTAGGAAGGAATAGTAGCTATGCTTACCCCTTTGAGTTTCTTTAAAGTAATAGAGGCAGGATTAAAAAAAAAACCTAACAAATAAAATAAATAAATCACAGCTCTTTCTTCATATCTCCCATCTGTTACCCAAGCTGGATTCTCACTCAACCTGGTAACATTCCAGGATCTTGTTAACCTCTGAATATCTCCAGAAAGCACTATAAGTATGACAATTCCAAGCTATTTGCAGTTTGGAACTTGCCAGTTGTTGATTTGTCATATTTTTTATAATGATCTTTTTGTTGTATTCTTACATGCTTTCTGTTTTAGGATGCTAACTGCTGGGCCTTTTTCATCAACCGTGTACAAAACTGTCATAAATAACAATGCATAAATAAAATACAGAATCACTCCAAGCTACAGGCTGGGTCGTTCTTATCCATCTTTGGGGCATGCAAACTTTCATTTAATGCACCCCAGGGTTTGAGCAATGTCTCTGCCAGAAATTTCCATCAGAATCCTGCTTGGGGAATCAGAGATAGCAGCTTTACATTTTCTGCCCAAAAATGGTTTCGCTTGCTTTCCTAACCTACTTGCAGAACTAATAATTTCATAAAGGTGTTAAAAACAGTGTTTCTCAATTGTGGCTGTTTTCAGAGGGGTGGACTTCAACTCCCAGAATTCCCCAGTCAGCAAATTGCTGGCTGGGGAATTCTGGGAGTTGAAGTCCACCCCTCTGACAACGGCCACAATTGAAAACACACTGGTGTAAAAAGAACAGAAATGAACCACTTAATCCCTGGCGTGTAATCCATTTCATGCTTAAGTCATTTTTCAAATCATGGGACAAACCCTGTTCGTGCCTCGAGGATATCAGAATCACCATCCATGTTCAGTCAAAGAAATCTGGTTTTCTTTTAGAGGGTTACTGAATCTTTCTGGTTTTTTTAACCTTTCACATTGCAGTGAAGTTCAGCCATGTGTGAATCACATAATCCTGACGTTGGTTCTTGCCTGCCTATGTGGCTAAAAACGCCTTTATCAACTTGCTGACTGAACTGCATTCAATGTAGAGAAAAGTGAAGTCCTACACTGATAAACCGTACTCAACGTGTAGTCCTTAATGGGTCTACATGGAAGGAAGGAAGCAGACAGATGGCACAAGGTTCCGTCGCAGTCCCAGGACTCTTCAATATCTTCATTAATGACTTAGATGAGGGAATAGAAGGGGAACTGCCCAAATTTGCAGATGATATTAAGCTGGCAGGAATACCTAAACCCAAGAAGATAGGCTCAAGATACAGATGGATCTTGACAGACTAGAACACTGGGACCTATCTAACAAAATGAAATTCAATGTAGAGAAAAGTAAAATCCTACACTTAGGCAAGAAAAACCCAAAGGGCACATATAGACTAGGTGAAACCAGGCTCAATAGCCATAACTGTGAGAGGGATCTTGGAGTCTTAGTGGACAACCAGCTAAATAGGAGCCAGCCGTGTGCAGCAGCAGCCAAAAAAGCCAATGCAATCCTAAATGCCCCTTAACAGAGGGATACAATCGAGATAAGAGAGGTACTAATACCACTCTATAAAGCCTTAGTAAGGCCACACCTAGAGTACTGCATCCAGTTGTGGTCACCATGTTACAAAAAAGATGTTGAGACTCTAGAGAAAGTATAGAGAAGAGCAACCAGGATGATGAGGGGACTGGGGGACTAAAACATACGAAGAACGGTTACAGGAAGTGGGCAGGACTAGTCAAGTGAAGAGAAGGACCAGGGGAGACATGATAGCATCTTCTAATATTTGAGGGGTTGCCACAGAGAGGAAGGAGTCAAGCTATTTTCCAAAGCTCCTGAAGGCCAGACAAGGAACAATGGATGGAGACTGAATAAGGAGAGATTCAACCTGGAAATAAGGAGAAATTTTCTGACAGTGAGAACAATCAACCCATGAAACAGAAGATGCCTTCAGAAGTTGTGGGGGCACCATCACTTGAGACCTTCAAGAAGAGATTGGACTGCCATCTGTCAGAAATGGTGTAGGGTCTCCTGCTTGGGTGGGTGGTTGGACTAGAAGACTTACAAAGGTCCCTTCCAACTCTGATTATCTGTTAACAATTAACTGGCCACAAGTCGCAGTTGTCCTAAAACATTTCCAGTTACTTGAACAGAGGCAGGACAAGGCAACGGATGTGGGGTGGGGTGGATTTTCTGTTCATTTGTGAACTGTGCCTTCCACATCAATCTTTCTTTTCCTGGGTCAGGCTGTGAGGAAGAGATTATGCAAAATCTCTGACAGGGTTCATACAAGGAGGTCAGGGGTGGCATTCAAGTTTTGTAATAACCGGTTGTGTGGACATGGCTGGGTGGGCGTGGCCATGTGACAGGGTGGGTGTGGCTTCTTTTTGGCAGCAAACCCCCCCCTCATTTTGGGGGGGGCCTCAGGGAAGCTTCCTGGGCAAAACAGTAAGACAGGAATCCTGGCACAGCTGTTCAAAGGTACAGCTGATCATCAGGAGGGAAAATAAAAACACCTTAAGGAGTGATTGGACAGGGAAGAATGCAGTCAGCGATGTCGGGCACGCGCATGAGGTTGTGCATGCACGATAAGGACTGACTGGGAGGGGAGGGGTGGGCAGAAAGGGGCGGGGCCAGCCAGTGGCGTGATTTGCCAGTTCTCCAAACTGCGCAGATTCATAACAACCGGTTCTATAGAACCGGTAGAATCCTACCCCCGATCCACATCAATCTTTCTTTTCCTGGGTCAAGCTGTGACGAAGAGATTATGCAAAATCTCTGGCCGGGTTTCATACAAGGAGGTTTACAAGCCTGGAAATTGCATTTCTGCGACACGTTCATCTTTTTTGGATGCCATTGTAGCTTTGAACGGTCGCTAAATGAAGGATTGTATGAGGACTTTCTGCATAACATCAACATCAAAATATGACTCCTCATAATAACAACGGTCTTCTGCATTGACACTACATGGGGTCATAGAATATAAGGAATGACAAACTGGGCCTATATGCATAAGCTACATCAATCAAACAATAATATTTATTCAGTCAATGATCAGCAAAATTTAAAAGAACAAACACAGCATGAATTAAATAAACTATATATATATATATATATATTATTTGGATGACTTTGGGCCTATCACCAGGAGATGGTGAGTTCTAGTCCTGTCTTAGGCATGAAAGCTGGTTGGGTGACTTTGAGCCATCTCTCTGTCTCTGTCTGTCTGTCTGTCTGTCTGTCTGTCTGTCTCTGTCTCTGTCTCTTTGTCTCTCTCAAAGTTGGAAATAGGGAATTGAGGTGCAACCCCTGTTTGCTCTTCTTTAAATCCCTCTTAGTTTTTCCAAATTGACAACTTTAAGATGGGTGGACTTCGACTCCCAGAATTCCCCAGCCGTCTGGCTGGCCATTGTAAAGTTGTCAATTTGGAAAAAAAAAAAGTGTTCTGGAGGAAAAATAAACCCTGCATTTGAGTAACCAGGACAAAGTTTTCCTTCTTGACCTAGTGGTCGCAGCTGCTCTCAAAGCTAAACAAGGTGAAGACATGATCTATTGTTCTTCATCGGGATGACACTCTTGAAACAATTAAGAATTCACGATGCCCCAATAGTGAGAATTCCACACCCGGGCACAAATGTCCCCTCGTTTCCTTGTTCTTCCCAGCCTGGGCTCTCTCACCCTCCTCTTCTGTCTGCACAATTTTTGGCTGAAATCTCACATTCCTCTTGCTGGCTTCCCCTGGCCGCCCTCGCCAAGTCTCCCAAGTTGTGCAGCAGTTGTGTAACGTGGACAAATCATTTGTGGCGAAAGCCAGACATGTCCCAACCTCGACTTTGCAGTGGACCAGGCTTTCTTCGAGCCACCTGGTATGTCCAAAGAGGAGCTGTTCTCGGACACCCTGGAGACTCAGACAAGAACCATTTGACGCACACCGCCAGAGCAAAAAACCTCTCCCTACTTAATTTAATATAAAAAGGGATATTTACGAAGCGCGCATGCACACATGCAAACACACACACACACACACACACACACACACACTGGATGGAAAATGTTCATGGGTTCCATATGGGAACACACACACACTCACACACAGAGGCCAGTGGAGAGCAGCCAACACAAGAAAGAGGTAGTTGGTTTTGTGTGTCTCTGTGCGTGTGCATGTGTGTGTGTGTGTGTTTGTGTGTATTTTCAAAGCCACATTCCTTCAAAAGTGATGGCTGGACCTCTTCCCAGAAGGCCTCCATTATAGCTTGGACCCGTTTTTCTTGATGGATATCCACTCCAGCAGAAATTGCAAAGGCTTTGCCAGGGTTTACCCCCCACCAGCCGAAGAGGTTCTCTTGTTTGAATTGGATCCCACAATTTCCCCCCAGAACCCGAATCAAGACAAGGAGATGCGCGTACGAGAAGACCTGGGAGGGAGGCGGTAGATGGTTGGAAAATTCTGAAATTCGCCCGTCTTAAAGTTGCAAACTTTGAAAAAAAAAAAAACATGGGTCTAATTGAGAAATTTGAGCATCCGGGAGAAAGGGCATCTGGGACCCGTGGCACAATGGTTAGAGTGCAGTACTTGCAGGCTACTTCTGCTGCCTGCCGGCTGCCTGAAGTTTGAATCTGACCAGGCTCAAGGTCGACTCAGCCTTCCGTCCTTCCAAGGTGGGTAAAAAATGAGGACCCCAAATTGTTGGGGGCAAGAGGTTGATTCGGTAAACCGCTTAGAGAGGGCTGTGAAGCCAGTGGTGTGATTCAGCCGGTGTAACAACTGGTTTGGTGAGCACACGCTCAGCATTTAAAAAAGCCCATTTTTAACTTTAATACTTACCTTCTACCGCAGCCCCAGTGAGTAAAACAGCTAAGGTGCGACAAACCATTCTGCCACGCAAATCAGCTGTGCTAAAAAACAAAACAAAACAGGAAATAAAGCACAGGAAAGAGCCAGGGGGCGGGGCCAAATGCTCACTGGAACGACCGGTTCGAATCCAGTCTGAACCGGTTCGAATCCCACCACTGTGTGAAGCGGTTTAAGTGCTATTGCTATTGTTTCCACATTGAATCTAGCAATCACAGTTGCTTGTGACCATAAGCAAAATGTCTTGTCTTAGGCAATATTTATCTTCCAAAAGATGCCTAAAATAAGCTGTTAAAACTCTACAAAGGCTTCCATGCATTTTTTTTTTTATTGGATCACAAGGCATCCTCAAAGTATAACTCACCGTTATGTCGAGATTCATCTAATGTCCAAAACTTTGCATAGTTGACTTCATAGTGTGAAAATATTAGAATTAGAATTAGAAGAACTTTATTGTCATTGTACAAGGAGAACGAAACTGTGGATGCACCCCAGCAACTGTTCGCAATACAATAAAACCAAAGCACTTAAAAATGAAGATAAGGAAAACAGAGTAGCCACGTCTCCGTTTGCAATTTGAGTGTACAATATCTATGAATCTTCATCCCATAATGATGCAGCAAAGAGAAGGACACCAGCACTATGCTGGGGTCCAAGTAAGAATAAAGGAAATTCCCCCAAACCCAACCAAGGGTCAATTCAGTGACCAGATGTGACCAGATGACACGAACTACATTTCCCACGAGGCATTCCCTTAAGGGGACAGCTCCCAATTCCCAATTAACTAACCCAATTCCCAATTAACTATATACTGTCTGACCAGCACAATTACCAAATTAGGTAAGATCTTCAGTGCGATGATGATGACGTTACCTAGCTGGGTTGTGAGACGTCTGCAAGAAAACCACCAAACTCAAAGAACACCAGAATAACAGAGTTGGAAGGGACCTTGGAGGTCTTCTAGTCCAGCCCCCTACTAGAGAGAGGAAGACATGACAAATGGCTGTCCAATCTCCTCTTAAAACCCTTCAGTGTTGGAGCATTCACAACTTCTGGAGGCAAGTTATTTCACTGATTCATTGTTCTCACTGTCAGGAAATTTCTCCCTAATTGTAGGTCCGATCTCTCTTTGATAAGTTTCCGTCCATTGCTTCGTGTTCTGCCTTTAGGTGCTTTGGAGAATAATTTATCCCCCTCGTCTCTGTGGTAGCCCTTCAAATAGTGTAAGACTGCTATCACGTCACTAGTCGTCCAACTTTTCCATTAAACTAGACATACCCAATTCCGGCAAATGTTCCGGCAAACCATCATGTGGTTTAACCCTCTAGACTCCTAATCATCTTTGTTGTCCCAAAGGGGCTTTTTTTTCCCCAAGAGACAACTGGACTTTCTTGGTTTTTCTTTTGAAGACGTTTCGCTTCTCATCCAAGAAGCTTCTTCAGCTCTGATCGGATGGCAGGGAACGGAAGGATTTATACTCCTTGCAGACAGCTGGTCTCATTTGCACCCTTTTAGAAAAGTCGTTGAGGCCACTTGGAGGTTCATCTGGGTCCTCGGGGTCAACGGAATGGTGCAAATGGGTGTGGAGTCAAAAGGACCTGTTGTAGATTGAAGATAGATGGTGTTGTATCCCTCTCCCTCTGTGGAGAGAGGGCTGTCCAGATGGCCTCCTTGAACCGTCTTTCAAACCAGCAGTCCTCTCCCAGGGGTGGGCTTCAAAAAAATTTAGCAACCGGTTCTCTGCCTGGTTGTTGGGTGCCTGTGGCGATGGTGGGTGTGGCCTAGTTGGCCTCTTGCACCACGGCAAGGGGGGGGAGTGTTTTCGCCCTCTTGGGCTCAGAAAGCTTTCCTGAAGCCTCTGGCAGGCCCGTGACCTCCCTCCTCAGGTTCTGGAGGCCAGAAACGGGCCCATTTCTGGCCTTCTGGAGCCTCCGGGAGGCCCTTTTTTCACCCCCCCCAAGCCTCTGCACAGACCCTGGACTTACTTGGGGTCCAAAACGGGCCACGTGGAGATTCCTGGGAGAGGAGGGGTGTGGTGGGCAGGGCCAGCCAATCATTGCAACTACCGGTTTGGTGAACCGAATTAGCATCCAGTTCGCCCGAACCAGTGCGAACCGGTTAGCAGGCTACCCCCCGGTCCTCTTTGTCCAAAATATGAACCTTCTTGCATTCGAAAGAGTGACCTTTGTCTTTTAAGTGCAGATGGACCCTTGGCTGTAGTTCTGATGCGTTTGTCCTCCTGTGTCACTCTTCTCTGCACTCTTTCTAGAGTCTCCGTATCTTTTTTTGCATCGTGGGGACCAAAACTGGCCACAGTATTCCAAGTATGGTCTCAATCAGTGGATGGATTGAAAACAGTGTCAAGCCC